TCTGAAGTCAACTCAATGTTTTCTTATCATAGGTCGTATTCCCGCTAAGTTATGCTGTTTGGTCTTTCAGAAATAGAGAGCTTCATATTTATTTCATTTAATTCAGCATTTCCATTCCTTTGCCATCGGCAGAGCAGCGGCGATGCTGTCGATCGTCTCTCCCTGCAACATGCAGCCAACGAACGAAAAGCGTAGCGAATAGCGCTTGAAGACGTTAAGTGTCAGACGAGAGCTCTTAAAGCCTTTTTACCTTGTAATCTGCTAACTAGCAACCTGCAATTACTTCAACGCGTAATAGCACCGTCTCAGTTAGTTGACTCCACTGTCGCTGCTGCTACCGTAACGAAGGCTACTGGGCGAAAGGCCACTCAGTCCTGGGACAGCATGTGCTAGCCAAGTTCCTTCGAGCCTTTCGGTGTCTGTATTACTGAGTGAACCAAATATCCGTTTGGGCAGTCGACATCGACCGAGTAGAGGCTCTACAACGATAACTTCTGCATTTTCTCGATGTCTTCCTATATTTGGTGTTCCATCATATTGTTCGTTTCCTTTGCAACGAACTTCGACTGACTAGATGAAGCAACAACACAGTCGATGAGCGTATACGCCTTAACGCAGTTTTGACACAGTCATAACGATAGATCGATGCAAGACCTCCGTTAGTTAGATGCTTTCTCTATAGACAAGCGATTAGTTCACTATAGCAAATAGTCGCAGCTGGGAAAAGAAGGCTATACAGTTTTTGTAGTAAGAACCACAGTCGTAATACTACAGCAGAAGTTTGGCGATGCTGATTATGTCGGCGAAATGTTCCGAGACTGTTAGTTAGCCAGGCGATGGCGACCAATTGGTGGTGTGAAACTGTTACAAGCAGTTAAGCACGTTTCTATAATTTACCCGCAAAATGCTAGTACAGTTCCGTCCGTGCTTTCCTACCATTCGGTTTAGGGCTGTCTCAAACTATGCCCAAGGCAACAATGGAATAAGTTATAGTAAATAGTTGTCGTTGCATTGCCCGTGCGACGTGGCATGAGTAAAAAGTACGGTCGGTGACTAGCAACGAAACACGGAAAAGCTTTTTTTGTCTTTCTACGCAGAAGGTTTGGTTGAGCGCCGGTAAGATCCTGTCTAGCGCTCTTGGCTAGCGCAGCTGCTGAAGACGACGGACAGAAGGAAAGGGCGTGAGGTCATAGGCTTAAAACTCAAGGGAATTTGCGAGAAAACCTCCTGTTCGTGGTCGTTCTGATGCGGGTGGATCTGCTCGACCGGAAGGTAGTTTTGGCAGGAGAAGTTTTCAGCTTGCTCACCCTACTCTCCCATCGCATTGTCCTTATTACTTTTAGAATCGCGAGCACTGGCGAACGCGCCAGTGGGCGTAAAACCTCTGAATGCGAAAAGCGGGCCTGCTGGTACTTCAGCCGTTGCAGGCCTTTGCCACAGCTAGCTTGGCAAGCATAAGAAGAAGAAAAAGTGGAAAAAAGAGCTAATCCGACAATGGGCTAAAACCGCTTGTAGCATACCCCTCAAAGGTTTTACCCTTTATTCTAACCTCAGTCTTTCCCAAGCGTACTATTTTCTATCTAGGACACCGTAACACGCCTCTGGGGCAGGTAGCAAGCAATACAGCTTAATAAAGGCGCATGGTACAGAACATATAACCTATATCCTTAAATAGATCGGTGTTTCGCTGGAACTTGCATATTGCCTACCTTATAGATATGAAAGTACATAATTTTGCTTTGCCTTTTAATGCCAGCGGCATTTCACACTTTTACATGACCTATTAAGGCGGTGTTTGTCGTTAGGACAGGATCGATTGGGTCTTTCATGTTTGTCGGTTTCAATTGCTTAAGATATGCCCAAAAATTAGACGCACTCGTTAGATTGCTACAAGTTTGGCTTCTAATCGTTTTCAGTAAAATGAACCTCATTATATAACAAACGTTCGCTATACGATTGACGCAGCTTTTTTGAGAACAAAAAGCAAATTTGCCCAAAAAAATAATTTATAGTATTTTTCCTCGAGCGTTTTATGGCACTAAGTATTCGAAATTCGTCGAGTACTGGCAAACTATTATATGTGTTATTTTAACCAAAAATGATCTGTATTTAAAACAGAAACATGGAGGGTAAGATCTACGATTAACAGGATATTATGTCAATTTTTTTGCCTATGCATTCATGTGAGATTATTAATTATTACCTATAGAATTGTGTTAACATGACTAAATCCATCTGAAAGCTCGTCCACGGTTACACTTTACAGCTTTCGCTAAATCTTTAGTCGTTATTGAAAGAGCTGAGAATAGTTACGAAAATTGTATATTTTTCTAATTAATATCATAGAGTACGCGTTTGCTACACGGAAATCGCCAAAAAACGTCCCTCAGTACTATATTCTTGGTAAGAAAGTACTTTTAAACCGCTAATAGGTATCGCTGCTTCTGGGTTGCCCATTCATCACAGCTCCAGAGTTGGGTTCGATACTGCAGAACGGATAGCTTTATGTCTATCATTCAAAATATTCATCTTGGCTTAGTAAGTGAAATTCATGTTTGTCAAAACACGAATTAAAGTATCAAACGACTACGTAAACCCGTGTATCATGCATATATAGTACTTAGATTGAAAGGGGAATTTCTTCAATGTGTGATGTAAACCCGAGTATAAACCCGAGTGACTCTCAAAATTCTGACAACTACTATTTGTGTAACAGCATACGCACATTCATATTGTAGCATACAACGATGTAACTTAAATCGTGCCTCATTTGTAGCTATAGTGTATTTCGATATGTTATAGTACTCATTATTCATCACTTAGTGCAGATAACCCATGTGTGTACATGTATAGGACGAAGCAGGCGTTCAAAAATCTCAACAGTGGCCGGCGATTTAGATTACTATAGCTACGATTAGTGGGTGGCGGGATTAACATCGAGGGAACGACGAAACGTCGCAAGAAAAAAACATTTCCTCTGCTTTTTTCCATTAGGTCTGCGTGTACTGTGGGTATAGACTATTGCTAACTCGCTACGCCTCTTGCATATTGCACTCGTCACGGTCAGTTCTGGCTTGCATGCCTCATGTCATTCTGTAGACCTGTGAAAAAGCTGACACTATCGTCATTTTGATGAAAGTTTTCGTTTACGTTTTTAGGCGTTTACAGAGCTGAAGTTCTCGGGATTTTAGACACAAGAACTACATCACCCTGCTGAATACGTGCGGGTTGTTTAGAACGGCCGACTCGCAAGTTATTTGCAAGACGTTTTATTCTTTCAGAAGATTTCAAACGAACGATTTTATTTACTGATAACTATTTAAACCAATATTTATCGGCAGATGTCTGACTTAATAGACGAAAAGAAAAAGGGTCCCGCTAAACGCGTAAAATGCACATGACTTCTTTTACCATAGACGACCCTAAAGAATCTAACGCACACCTAAATTTATATATTTCGTTCACAGCTTATGCCCTGTACATCAGTGAGAACGCTCTAAATGGACCACACTTGCTGGTTCCCTTTATCGCTCACTGTTCAATGTGATGATGTTATTGTTCCCGCGCCGTTCTGCCGGTGTTCCTGCCGCTCCTGTTTTTCTACCCGTGTAGCCAGCTATAATTCATCCCCTTGCAAGCAGCCCCACATCCAATGGTCGTCTGGATATCGGCCAGCCACGACCGACCGGCGGCCAGCAATTCAGTTGCACCCTAAATTTCTTGCAGTGCTCTCCTTTTATCGAAGAACAAGAGTTAAGAGACCTCAGCAGCGCCTGTTAATCATTCCTAACCTTTTTTTGAACTTGCGTCAGCACTTCAGATCGCTCTTGACTTCACGCTATAGCCGCTGTTTCGTTTGTTGCTTCAGCTGCTAGTAGTAAATGGTAGAAAAAAAATCGGTATTGTCCAGACAAGAATTAGGCAAATGATTGAGATGGTACGGCGAGCAGCGGTACATCGACCGCGACATGGCGATCGCTGTGGTGGCAAAACAACCGCTGGAAGAAAACAATTGGATGCCTAATACAAGAACGCTCAATTACTGTTTGTGCTCGCAATAGGTTATCCTGGTTCCTCTATCCGCTAAGCACTACCTCTCGTTCTGTGTTCATCCCTACGATCCCTTCTTTCCCCTCTACTGCTCACGACAGTTTCTTGGCAAGCGCATCACGCCTTAAAAAACGTGCTTTCATATCAATCCAGTCAAACGACATCTAAGACCGTACAACATACGGCATGCATTTATGAAAACGTTCTTTGCGCTGGCGGTACTTTCTGCTGTTTAACGACTTCAAAACTGCACACTAAGAAGCTTTGCAACCTCTGTTAATGACGACCCAATTTTCAATGAACATTGACTGTATGAACCGCTTTTTTGACTCACGTCACCGATAACGTTTAGTTAAAATGTAAGAAATAAGAAAAGTTCGGCATTGTTTAATACGAAACTCATATGAGAGTAACTTGGTCACTTATTCAAGCCAAAAGTATCATTCTGAGAATGCTCACGTAAATTTATCATTATTTGCAGTAGACATAGGCGTAAACAAAAGACATATGAAAACGGTAGACACGAGGGCATTATTAATGCTTGATGAGTTTGCGGTATGTGAACATGTAAATCGTATATTTAGCCTACTCTAAATGTTCTTCCATAATTTTTTTCCTTCCGACTTTCAGATGACGTTGATGCCATTAGGCTACTAAAGGCTTAAAAGCCTTAAAGGAGGATGGGTCCGGTCAGACTGCGCGCCGGGCCGCAGTCCCACGGATGATATCTGCCGCCAAAGAACTGTACAGCAAGGCTCGTCCGGACAGGTGAGGTTGTGCGCATTTAGGCCAACAGCCCGGCTACCACGACTACTGCTACAACCGCTAAGGTTCCTTAAACCAACAGACTACCAATACCATTAGCAACACCGTCAATCAACCAACAAACAGAAGCGCCCTTCTCAGCAGACACAGGCCGACTTAGCGCTACTCTCGGTAAGCCAGCCATCACAATGAGTTCGCCTTCAACGAAACTGACAAGCTCATTAGCGCCGCCGCTGCCGCCGCACCATCAGCCAGAAGTGACAACACCCTTGTACTTCACTGGACCGAAAATTTGGAAGACGGCCTACGAGGAGACGGTGCACAATACGAACATAGGTCCACACATACTAGACCCTGGCCCTGTCGTCGAGAATGTTACCGCTCTCTTAGGCGTGCTCAACGATACATTGTTGGGTAACGTTTCCGGGCAAAGTAACTCGACGACAGCTGGCAGTGAAACGGTTCACACGCATCTTGAATTCATTCTTATCGTGTTCATAGGCGCATTCTTCTCAATAATTACGATCGTGGGAAACCTTATGGTGATGATTAGTTTCAAGATGGATAAACAGTTGCAGACAATTTCCAACTACTTTCTGTTAAGCTTGGCCATAGCAGACTTTTCGATAGGGATAATTTCTATGCCGCTATCGACATACTACATGCTCTACAACTATTGGTACTTGGGCCCATTTATCTGCGACACATGGCTGGCATGGGATTACTTGACCAGCAACGCCTCAGTTCTCAATCTATTAATCATCTCATTTGATCGTTACTTCTCGGTCACGCGACCGTTAACGTATCGTGCCCGAAGGACGACGCGACGAGCAGCGATCATGATCGCTTCAGCGTGGGTCATATCACTTTTACTATGGCCTCCATGGATCTACGCCTGGCCGTACATAGAGGGCAAACGGTCAGTGCCCGAAGGCCAATGTTATATCCAGTTTCTTGAGACGAACATCTATGTCACATTCGGCACAGCGATTGCAGCATTTTATGTGCCCGTCTGTATCATGTGCATACTATACTGGAGGATCTGGCAGGAGACGGAGAAACGTCAGCGGGACCTGACGCACTTACAAGCGGGGAAAAAGCTTCCCTCGTCGAGTGGTAGTCGGAAATCCCTTGCAAATCATGCCAGTAACGAGAATCCAGGTGAGGGCAATGCCGGCAACGCCGGTAGTGACTCGCAGCCATTAGAAAATCGGGGGGTTAGTACGCTCTGCCTTGAGACTGGTCGCTACCTTCCACCGCCACAATCTGCAGACTCCGTCGCGCCCGCGAATTTCAAATCGAGTACCCAGACGTCGCGCAGTGCCCAGCGTAGGGGTCTCGGAGACGTGCTATTCTCGTGGTGCCGCAGTGAACGGCTTCATGATGACGACTCGTGCTCGAGTCACGGCTCACCCAACGCCCAGACGCCGACCTCGGCCGAGACGCCGATTAGAGCCGATAGCATGCAGTATAGGCCTCTGCAGAACATTCCGCTAGCCGATCGGCCACATCAAACATCAACGCGGTCATTTTCTAGTGATTCCGTGTACACTATCCTAATACGACTACCCACACAGACGAGTGTCGAACTGGACGGTGAGATGTCGCAGGCCTCGATCCGAATGATCCTTGAAGAGGACGGACCTCCGCCGTGCCAGCCCGCTAAGCCCATTCCCCGCAGTAAATCGGCGTCCGCCAGCGATCGCAATGCAGGGATCGGTACGGGACCAGGTTCCGCCCCATCCCGAGAGCCTCTTTTACTCAATACAAAATTAGTCGCTCAGCAAGGTAATAAGCGAGTGCCCAAGAAGAAACGAAAACATCAAGAACGCAAGCAAGAACGAAAAGCAGCCAAGACGCTATCGGCGATTCTATTCGCGTTCATCGTCACGTGGACGCCATACAATGTGCTCGTCTTAATCAAGACGTTAAGCCCATGCGAGGACGATAACGACTGCATCCCGCAGGGCCTGTGGAATTTCGCCTATTGCCTATGCTATATCAATAGCACGGTGAATCCATTATGTTACGCACTCTGCAATGCTAACTTCCGCAAGACCTACGTTCGTATACTTACCTGTAAGTGGACTTCGAAGAGACAGCGTCACCGGGGTTACTTCAGCTGAGTGAGCGTTTAGGAGGATGTCCCGGAACGTGTTTGTTTCTTCTGAAGTCTAAACGGTGAACTAAATCAAATAGGCCGACAATAATGAATAAGAAATTACTTCATATGAGATGAATAGGGCCTTTATATGAAAATTCCACGTAAAAAGGACAACAAGGCTTAAATAATTGTAGTAGAAGGAATGGAGGAAAATAAGTAAGAAGTTTGAAAGAAGGAAGCAAAGGAAACCAACCAGCCAAATCGATCACCACCGGGTACCCGCGCAACCCGGACGGTGTTCGCCATTACACTAGACATCAACTCATTGCTCAATCAAGTGGACGACAGGAGTTATTGATTAGGGGCTCTTGATAGACCCTCAGATACACGCACACCCAGAAACACGGACACTATACACAAACAATGCATATTAAAGTATAGCAGATATGTGCACCACGTAACACAAATACGCTACAAGCACAGACAACCTATAAACAGAGATGAGATGTGTACCGTGTAATACATGCTAATGGGTTACATTGACATTCCAAATCTTCAGATAGCCCTATCTGAACAACAGATCACAGACTTTGACTAATTTTCTGGCATGCTTATAGTATCGTTGGTTAGTTTTTCATCTAAGTGCTACGATAGCTATATTTTATTAACTGCCATCCTTCTCCACATGTATAGAAAAATATGAAACCCGCGAATTCTCCGTGTGACACAGACTATAAATGCTTATGCAATCGTTGATTCCCGATTTATCTGATAAACCCCTTACGAAAGTTTCAGAATTTAACGTAGTCAAGGGTCGCTTATGTGGATTAGCGCACCCTGTTCTGCCGTTGTAGTCATTTTTGTACTAGGCGAAGATGGAGACGTCGTCTCTAAATCTCATATCTCGTTACGCAGAGATATTTTCCTAGCATGCTGCCGCGCCCACTTCCCCACAGCCTATTCAACCAACATGATGTTGATTTGCGCGGGCCGGCTAGGCTCTCGTGTGAATAGCATGTATCCATTACGATAGTATATTTGTGCGTACGAGTCCACGGAAATCAACTTTCTTCGTTCTTTCCTTCCCATGGCAGATGAGCTATGTCTGGGTCAAGTTGGGCGCCAAAACCTGGTTCCTTTACTCTCACCCTTTTTTGGTATCGTCTTTCAAAAGCCGCTGCTATCTCGACACCCACCTTACGCATTGAATCCTACTCTCCTCACCGTAGTATTTCCGGCTGCACATATCCCACACAGCGGCCTTCCTGCTCCCGTTTCGTCCGCGGGGTCTTACTTCTCTATCGCGAGTTTCACACTTACACGTTTACTTTTCCTCGCGATTCTACCTTCCATAAGCGTATGTGCTAGTGGAAACGCCACTCGATGTGTCGGAGGGATGCTCGATCGCTTAGGAGTTACGGTGCCCGCTCAATTCGAGATAACTGCGAAATAATGATACTGCATTGGCGACGCTGTTGGGCGATGTGTGCAAAGATCGCAGATGTTGACACCTTTCTCCAAGTCATTTCTTTTTTCTCAGAGACGCCCGTCAGCCGCAGTAATGAGAAACACCGCTTTCGACGTCTTTCCTCGCAAAAATACACACAAGTCGGCCAAGCAGTTTTTCAACCACACTCTAGTTTTATAGCCAAGACGCATGCGCCATTACAAATACCCAGCACGTATAGTCAGATGATGATTTGGATGGAATACATTTGAACGCGACACGAGCAATGAAACCGAGGCCGCTGCAGCGACCGACCCAAGCCGCGTTGTTTTTTTGAATAGCTCGTTCATTTTCATTGCAGCCCCTGCAGGTGTCACTAACGTTATTGCTAGCGACGCCGTAACGACAACAGACTAGTCGTTCCATTGTTGACTGCAGCTCTGCTAATCTCGTGGCGCCATACTCCTATTTATGATACTGCAAGGGCTGTAACATCAGATCAGCCTAAAGCTCGTACACAGAAAACGGCACAGAATCTCACGGCTTGATAGTTTGTAAAGCTTTCGCCGACAGCAGACAATAGGGGAACACCTTTGGCCAGACTGAGTGTGTGTACGTTTGTACATATATATATATATACAAACGCACACATAGTTCTCTCCTCTCTTTCCATATATATATATATATATATATATATATAGGATGAAAAGAGAGAAAGAGTAGACAAAGGACCGAGACGACCGCCTCTGCCTTAATGAATTCTCTCATCCTGCATCTAGCGAAGGTTACAGAACCCCGATACAGGAGCAGAAAAGCACACAGCTCATAATCTTGAACTACCAACAGCATTACCGTCATTGTGGCTGTCGTTACTTGTGCAGACTCCGTTGCTTCAGCAGCATCGTCAATCAGTACCATCACGGCGATCGTTAACAGAAAGGAGCAGCACAGCATCATCGTCATCAGATTGTCGGTGTAGAACACGACCGAGTAACCTAATGGCTGAAGCCGATCCATGACCACTCTTGCCCCGAAGCAGCAAGCGACCGGACGAAGCCTCAAGCGCTGCTAAACAAACGCGAATAAGCACAGCTGATTGTAATAAGGCACCCTGCGTCATTTTTCGAAAGATGACAGCACCGTACTGGTAATCAAGCAGAGCAAGCAACTGCATGTAAAGGTCATACCTTTTTCCAAAAGTGACAGCAGCAGCAGCAGCAGCAAATGTCGTCATATAGCTACAACATTCGCTGCGACCACACGAGCACCTCCCAGATACGCAAATAGCATAGTAAAAATTGTATAAGACGGCAGTGAGCATTGTAGACAACCAGCATTGAGGGGTATGAGCTAAAAAACTGTGAGCAAATAGAAAGTAACTGGACATGGAGTCGGAAAAGATAATGAGTTTTTGTTTTAAGAAAAGTTCGTAGGCATATAGATGGGATCTAAAAAAGGACTGATAACAACGATGGTCTTACATACAGGCGATTGGTATTGTACGGGTCGGTATATGAACATCTAGACAGCAAAAAACATAAGGTAGAGTAGACGGCAAGCAGCAACTGACCCGCTTGCGACGAGTAACAAGTAAACTATGGGCCTTCACATTGCTACTTATCCGACGATGTTCCGCAGTTCTCTGCGGACAGCTTTCAGCTTTTGTTCAGGGGACAAATCTAAGAGAGGCAGCTGGCTTAAGTTAGGTAGAGTAGGTCAGCTTGCTGGCATTCCATCGGCCCCCAACAGCAGTTGCAGGTCCATTCCGCTCCAGTGTCATCTGTTGTCTTCCAGTCAGGCAACCGACTGGTTGCTATAATCTCTAGGTACTACTGCTTCTGGTACTTTCTGCAATTCCCTCTACTCTAGCACTCGTTGCTTAGGTCCCTTGCCAAGTTTTTTTCCACGGGTCGTTCCTCCATAGTCGAACCGAGTGTCGATAGGGCGTGAGTCCTACCAACCATACAGCGTTAGCGTTCCAACGTTCCTTCATCTTCCGCCTACCTAAAGAGTGAGAAGCCCTAGCTAACAACTCTGCCAGGGAGGACCATTGGCAGGCTGAAGCTGAAGATAGATGGCAGAAAAGGCAGCAGATGCCAACAGGAGTTCCGATGGTGACAGCAACAGCAGCAAGCGCTCAAGGAAAGAAGGAGTATAGAGCTCTCGTGTCTTTCATGGGAGCGTCTGCGTTTGCCGCAGTACTGTTTGCTCAAGGTTGGATGGCAAGAGAGCGTGCGAAACGCTTGCTGGCAGGCCGAATCGAGGCTGAGGATCCAGAAGCAGCAGTGGTCGGTAGTTAAGCAAGCAGACCTAGTCCCTAGCGAAGATACCGATCAACATCGTGTAGAAGCAGCAGAGGCTCATAAGCGTGGACGGCTGGTACACAAAGACGTACAAACGTCCGGTTCTTGCTAGTCGGGACGGCAGGGACGATAGCTTTACCAGCCAACCAAATTCGATTTATCCTGGCCTTACTTTCAGTTGTCTGCTATATCATTCTTAGCACTTTCCGATCTCTTCCCGTCCAGTAATGGAGGCGAAGATAACCGGTAAAATGAAAATAGAGAGTGTACAAGAGGTCGCAAGATAAAAATATTGATCGTGCTAACAATTCGGAGAAAGTTGGCAAGGTTGACAATAAACGACAACAACAACATGAAAAATAACCCAAAATATAATTTAGCCTAACTCAGCTTTGTGTTTAGCTCTTAAACGAATTCGTTTCAACTTAAAGATACCTCATGCATGTTTTGGGCGGTTGGTGTGTCGATACCTAATCATTCGTCTCTGGGTTCGTAGGGGAGAAAGCAACGTTCTACCGAGTGCTATTGACCGAACGCCACTTATGCCGGACGTATACGCCAGTGGACCAGATCCACTTAGAACGGGCTCTCGTTCTCTGGCCCTATTTCGGCCGACAAACATAGACATAGGAACGATGAAAGTTTGCCCTAACGTATCCCAATACCAATCAATTGGAATGCATTTCGACTCGTTTTTCTTTACCCTCATTTTTTTTGGTTTTCGCTTCGTAGTTGCCGATGGGAGCGACGCACGAACGGCCACCGCTCAGCTACAAACTATATTGTTACTTGCCCAGATGACTTGGTCGTTCCTCGAGAACCGTCTGGGGAGTCGTGTCTGAATGCAATCGTATCCTCTGCACATAACCGTAATGCCCATCCCAAGTGTCATAGCATAAGTTATACCATACTCACTCTGAGCACATTGAAAAGGAGAGGGTTCGAAGGTAGAGACAACGAGAGAGGAAGAGTGTGCAGGTGAGAACATTGAGAACTGTTAGACGGACTGAAAATAGCATTGAAGTGAAATTGGAGAAAAAGGCGCAACGTAGCTTTTAACGTAAGGAGCGTACAGATCGTAAAGGTCTGGCAAGGCGAGGACGTGTACAAGAAAGCGACACAGACACTCTGGGGAGCCAAAAAAATCTGAAGCTAATATGGAGGGATGTACGGCAATAATCCACCATTGATCAGAGCTAGAGTTTGTAACATTCTTCTACTAGAAAAATACGCACCTGCCACTATTTCGAAATCATATTGCTAATTCACAATAGGGAGACAAACAGGGATGTAACCTATGCTGGGACATGGGGAAGATAGCGAGTGCGATATGGCAACGACAAGTGGGTATACTTCGCGGAATATAGTAGTAGAAAAGCCTATATAAAGAAACTCCCTAGAAAACTCTATGGGATCCAAGATAACTTAGCCAGATAACACTGAACTGTATACGAAGCTCAGTAGGTTGTTACCCTATGACGATTGCGAAGCTGTTCGTTCATTCTGCCAAAAAAGGAAAGTAGTGTTGTTCCTATCCGCTAGACGCGTCCTGAACCTACACACAAATGTATTAAGATTTAAATGTATTTCAACAAGCAGATACTAATACGTGTGGCAGCAGGAGTAGTAAATAGGACCATGTGTATCATTTATATCGTTATATAGTCTAGCCGGGCCTAAGGCAAGCAGACTAATAGCAACAACCATAGGAAGCACTTACAACAGAGCGTAGGCTGCAATAAAATTACACATATTCCTTACGAAAAAAACCCAGGCATCAAAATGCAGCTACACAGAAAACGAAAACACACACTCACATCAACAAAAGCGCTTCTAGTCTCCACGAGTACATAGGCAGGGACAAACATTGTTTAAAAAACATCTAATCGAAAACAACATGTACCGAGCGGTAAATGGGAACGTGTGACAGAGACAAATCGGCCTACACATAGTTGTTACAAGCTACGACGCCGTAGGAACAACTATAGCATAACGTATACATGCACATGCTCACAGAGGCACACCCATGCAGTTATACAGAGATCACAGACACATAGGTGAAGCACACAGGAGTCGATTGATTAAATGCTACCTGAACTTTCATTGATAAAAATCAAACTGATCATGTTCTTATTACAGTGATCTATTAGTGTCCATAGCATCGACATGTTCTATTGCTAATAACAGTAATTTACTACGATTATAATATTATTGCTACTATGATTACTGTGACATAGTCTTACATTTATTGAAAAAATCGAAGATCAGCGTCCGTATGATGACACTGTCGAGTGAAAAAAAAAAAAAAAAAAAAACGACAGGACAACATTGTACCATTATTATTATTATAATCTCTTTGCCGACGCGACCCGTCCCGCGCTGTTCGAGGACAGTGGCCAGAACCGAAATTGCGCGCCATCTAGGCTGACACGGGACAGTCTATAGGATGACGAGTGTCAACGGACGACGCGAAAACGATCATTGACTAAATTGAGCAGCCGCTGGTGGCGAAAAAGAGCAGACGCAGTGAAAAGAGGGGCGACAAAAACAGGGCAATATATACATACCTATGTGAAAATAATGTGTACAATATAGGTACCATCTAAAAGATGAAATGAAAGATATAACCACCCACACTGACCGGCGGAATGTACAGAGTCTATGCAAACTAATATGACAATTAATACGTCGGCATACAAACGACCCGTCCATCGCCAGGACTGGCCAACAGGCAACAGATGAATGCGACTGAAGATCTATAACCAACAAACTGATAAATATTATGATGAACAGATTTTTTACATCGCGAACTAGCACATAAAGGCGGTCCAAGACATCCCTAATATTTGTGGATACAAGAGCGCCGGCAGTCTGGCCGATTGTTATAGTCACTGGTATTAGTCTACGTTAGCAACTAGGAGCCACGTCGTCCCTTCGATCAGTATTCTGTAAGAAACTTAATTAAGTAATCCACAGCGATCTTCTTCATCGGCTTCGCCTTTGCTCCCGACATCTTGCTTTAGGCCTAGACGTTTGCGTTATCACCGCAACCTATCACATATACCATTCGGTCATTGCGGTCTTCTACAATGCATTAAATACACATTACGCGCTTTTTTTTTTTTATCAAGATAGCCATGATTCTAGTAGAATGCAGTAGTGCGTCCTACCGCATTAATTTGTCCATTATATCATACAGTATAGGTTTATCCAGATTTTATATAAGAAATATTGACCAACCTCTCTCCATTTCTCATAGTTGCTTGCACCGTTTGCCTTCATCGCTTTATCCGCGAAAACAGGGGTGT